CCAAAGATTAGTTTGAAGCTAACCAGAGACCTCTAGAACAAAGGGGGAGACAGAAATTCCCTTTTATTCCTTTTTTCTAGGCTGGACTCGAGAGTTATTTTATTTCAAGGCTGGGAATGAAATAATCATTGTCCAGATCTGATCTTGGAGACATTCCTGAGCTCTTAAGCAGGGGGAGGGGATGAAAAACAATCAATCCGTCAGGAGTCAGGCTTTGTCCTGGATTCCTGTCCTCTGAGCCAACCTGCAGATAGAATTTTCAGCTCCAGACAGGCCCCGAGAACTGTTATGTATTCACACCACTGAGTGAGTGAGTAAATGAACAGATGTTTCTTCTGATGTCTGCAGTGTAGACAGCTTAACCTACTGGTATGTCTCAGTGGGAGTCAGGACCCTGGAATTCTTGGTGTTTCCCTGACAGCCAAGCCATGTGCCTTAGTGCACCGCACGTGGACATGGAAATATGGCTCATACATTCTCTGGGTTGTTTTTAATTGTCGGAGGCAGATGCAGTAGGTACAAGGAGCCAGTGTGTTGCAAACTGCAGATCACAACCTAGTGGGTCTGAAATTCACTTAGTGGGTTACAACCAGCATTGGAAAAGAAATAGATTTCAACTATATGATGTTCTGGAAAAGGCAGAACTATGGAGACGATAAAAAGATCAGTGGTTGCTGGGAGTTTTAGGGGTGAGTGGGGGGGTGAATGGATAGAACGCAGAGGATTTTTTAGGGCAGTGAAAATACTCTGTATGATATAATGATGGATATACGTCTTTATATTTTTGTCCAAACCCTTAGAACGTACAACACCATTCACCTAAGGTGAATGAACTACCAAGTTTGGGTGATTGTGATGTGTCAGTGTAGGTTCATCCTTGGTACAAAATGGACCATTTTGGTGAATGATGATAACGAGGGAGTCTCTGCATGTGTGGGGCAGGCGGTACCTGGGCAGTCTCTTTAGGGTTTTTCATAAACCCTAAAACTGCTCTTAAAAAATAGTCTTAAAATAAAGACAGAATGAACGCTCTCAGAGTGTTAGGGTAGACATTTTGGGCAAAACTTTTGTTTCAATTATATATATGTATACATATTATATGTGTGTGTCTGTGTGTTTATTGGATATAAAGTACAATGTATTTTTTAGATCAAAAAGTTTGCAAGCAACTGTATTAAGTTATACTGTCAAATAAAAGCACAAATCAACCACAACCATTAGATATTCCTATTAAGTTTTTTTGGTTATAAGCAGCAGAGGGTGACTCCAGCTAACTTAAGCAGAAGAGGAATTTATTAGAAGGAAGTGGCAGCTCAGAGAATTTAAGGGAAAGCGTAAAAATTATGATGACTTGAGGGAGTCTGGAGGCCTGGATAGGTGGGAGGAACTCATGGAGGGTTTCTACTTCCCGTTGAATTGGTTCCAGCTGTTTTAGGTCTTTTTGCCCTTGACCGCCTTGGCCAGCGCAGGGTTCCTTGATTGACAGGCCAGTCACATTACACAGTGAAGGAGGGAGGTTCTCCAAAGCAGAACCCAAGTGCTTCTGCCAGGGGAGGGTGAGTGCTTTGTGGCAAGAGGGTGGTTTGCGTGATCTCTGATTTTCTTTTCCTTTTAAAATCAGTGTTAGCAAAGGGATATATATGAATGATTTTAAAAAGATCTAATAATATCAAAAGGCTTTTAAAATAATATGGTTATAGTGACACTTCTTGATTTATCAATTTTAGACACCTATTGGCTTCCTGCTGTAAGAAATTCTGGGCAAGTTTATATTCCCGCCCCTCACACCCTCTCAAAAAATCTCCCATCCTCTTAATGTACTTAACTTACATCACAACTTTGGGCTAAACTATGATTTCTGTTAATAGCATTGTGGTTGAGAGCTTTGTCCTGGGAATCGACCCAGTGGCCTGGAGTCAGGACTTCAGTGTTTGCTTTGCCCAAGGTTAAGTAAATTACTTAATTTCTTCAGTCTCATTTTCCTCATCTTTGCAACGGGGATAATAATCGCACCGTATCAGGAGGTGGTTGTGAGGATTTAATAAGGGAATACCCAAGAAACATTAAGCACAGTGCCTGGCACACGGTAAGTGCTCAGACGTTCGCTGTGATTTTCTGTTTGCTACTTACCGCTTCAGCCGTGGCCAAGGGATGGAGGAAGAGTCTACGAACCCCGGTCTGGGCAAGGTTTGCTCTTCTCATTATATCAGTGTTTCTGCTTGTCTGTTCCTCTCCCCTTACCTCTGCCAGCAGAGGGTCCTGAGGATGAGACGGGGCCTGTCGGAAGACCCGGGTTGAAAGCCTGGGTGACCTTTGCTAGTCCCAGCTCATCCAGGTCTGGCTTAGACGGAGCGATGGTCAAGTTCATGTTTTGGCATCCACCACCTCATGGACGAGGCAGCTGGTGTCCCGTGATGCTCTGAGCTCTTTGATAAGGTCATGCTCTTCGAGTAATCCGTCTGTGTCACCCTTCCTTAGAATATTTGCTCTTTTTTCATCCTCTCTAATTTTTTCTTTTGATCAGTCCTGGCCAGAGAGTTTCTCTCAACACCTGGGTGGATCTGCAGTTTTTCATCAGCTGCAGTCTGAACCTTTGTCTTTACCATGGAACAGGTGTCATTCCTTTAGGCCCTCAGAAACCGAATTAGTGCAGTGCCGTTTTTCCTGAGCCCCGCTCTCTTTTTTTTTAAATGTATAACTAAAGCTGTGGTTTATCGAGGGTTTACCATGGGCCTGAATTTTTTTTTAACCGCTTTATTAAGAAATCATTCACATACTGTGCAAATCACTCATTTAAAACATATAATTCAATGGTTTTTAGTGTATTCACAGAGTCTACAGTCGTCAACATAATCAATTTTAGAACATTTTCATCACCCCGTAAAGAAACCCTGGTCCGTGAGCAGTCACTCAGGAACCTCGCCCCTGCCCCTCCCTGCCCCCGCCCAAGCCCTAGGCAACCACCAGCCTACTTTGTTTCTCTAAGGATTTGCCTATTCTAGATACATTAATATAAATGTAATCATATAATATGTGATCCTTTATGACTGGCTTCTTTCAAATAGCATGATGTTTTTAAGGTTGATCCATGTTGTAACATAAATCAGTACTTCGTTCCTTTTTGTGGCTAAATTAGTTCATTGCAGGCTTATATTATCGCGTATGTTCATCATGGATAAATGCTGGTGGACTTTTATGTTGTTTCCACTTTTTTTCTATTATGAATAACGCTGCCATGAGCATTGTTTACAAGTTTTTGTGTTGACATATGTTTTCATTTCTCTGGGAGGGAAATACCTAGGAGAGGAATCGCTGCCTCAGAATATTTGCATTTTAAAAGCACGATTCATGCGCAGTCCCTGGTGCTTACTCCAGAGGCAGGAATGAAGTCTAAAATGGTGGCAGCCCTGGCTC